CTTTCGGGATCAAGACGCACGTTTTGATGTATATATTACCAGGGTTTTCTCAAAGCTGCGGGACGAGTTACGCGCCAAAATTTGGTGGAAGAATAATAATAAGCCCCTCAGCTATTCTAGCTGTAGAGGAGTGCCTTGGAGCTGAGCACCCGTGGCACTAATGATAAAAACAGTTAGATTAGTCCACATCCTTTGGCTGAGGTGTTGTATAGTCTGATGGCAGTGGGAACAGAGGATCTCCTGAACCTCTCTGTTCTGCAGCGCAGTGAGATGAGACGATTGCTGCACCTGTAGCTGCTTCTCTGTCCTGCCAGAATGCTGTGGAGAGGATGGTTGGTATTGTCCAAGATGGCCGCCATCTTACATTGCATGCGTCTCTCCACAACAGTCCTGAGTGAGTCCAGACTCCTGCCAAGCACAGACCCAGCCTTTTTGACCAGCTTATCAAGTCTCCTTGTGTTCATGTTTGACATGCTGCTGCCCCAGCAGACTGCAGCATTAAAGAGTACACTGGCCACCACTGACTAATAAAACGTGCAGCTTTTCACTGCAGAGGTCAAAGGACCTGAGCCTCCTGAGGAAAAAGAGCTGGCTCTGCCCCTTCAGGTAGATGGCATCCCTGTTCAGGGACCAGTCCAGTTTACTGTCCAGGTGCACACCTAGGTATTTATAAGTGTGCACCACCTCAATGTCCTTCCCTCTAATGTTAACTGGCTGAAGGGTGGGCCTAGACCTCGGAAAGTCCATGACCATCTCCTTGGTCTTGGAGGTGTTCAGAAGGAGGCAGTTCTTGTCACCCCATTCACTGAAGGCCATCGTCAGATCCCTGTACTCCTCTTCCTGCTCGTTCCTGATACGCGCCACAATAGCTGTGTCATCCGAGTATTTCTGGATGTGGCAGGACTCAGAGTTGTATTTAAAGTCGGCCGTATACAGGGTGAACAGGAACAGAGCCAGAACAGTCCCCTGTGGAGCCCCAGTGCTGCTCATCACTGTCCGAGACACAGTTACCCAGCCTGGTCGTCTTGTCAGGTAATCCACAATCCAGGACATGAAGCAGGGATCCACCCCCATCCCTTCCAGCTTGTCTTTAAGGATGGGGGGGCTGGATGGGGTTAAATGCACTTGAAAAATCAAAAAACATAATCCTCATGTAACCACCTGGCTCATCCAAGTAAGAATGGGTGGAGCATGTAAAGAACAGCATCATCCACTCCAATATGTTCTTTGTAGCTGAACTGTAGGGGGTCAACNATGCATTCCTAATGCATTATTTATTCCCAGTATTTTGGGATTAACTTTAGGAAAAATTTGAATTTTTTCTTTCGAAGATAATAAGAATAATAATAAGCCACTCAGCTATTCTAGCTGTAGAGGAGTGCCTCGGAGCTGAGCACCCGTGGCACTAATGATAAAAACAGTTAGATTAGTCCACANCATGTTCAACCTGTGGCCTCAGAAGGTGGAGAAGCGGCTGCTCCAGGTCTTCATGATGTGTGATGTGAGGGCCACCGGTCTGTAGTCATTTATCTCAGCCGGTTGTCCTACTTTAGGGACCGGAACAACACATGATGTTTTCCACAGGACCGGGACCCTCCCTGTTTGTAGATTTAAGTTAAAGATCCTCTGGAGAGGCCCAGTCAGCTGGGCTACACAGTCCTTTAACAGCCTCGGACACACACCATCCGGGCCTGTTGCTTTTCCAGGACGTAGTCTCTTGAGCTNTGCTGTGGAGAGGATGGTTGGTATTGTCCAAGATGGCCTCCATCTTACATTGCATGCGTCTCTCCACAACAGTCCTGAGTGAGTCCAGACTCCTGCCAAGCACAGACCCAGCCTTTTTGACCAGCTTATCAAGTCTCCTTGTGTTCATGTCTGACATGCTGCTGCCCTAGCAGACTGCAGCATTAAAGAGTACACTGGCCACCACTGACTAATAAAACATGTGCAGCTTTTCACTGCAGAGGTCGAAGGACCTGAGCCTCCTGAGGAAAAAGAGCTGGCTCTGCCCCTTCAGGTATATGGCATCTGTGTTTAGGGACCAGTCTAGTTTACTGTCCAGGTGCACACCTAGGTATTTATAAGTGTGCACCACCTCAATGTCCTTCCCTCTAATGTTAACTGGCTGAAGGGTGGGTCTAGACCTCCGAAAGTCCATGACTACTCTCTTTGGTCTTGGAGGTGTTCAGAAGGAGGCAGTTCTTGTCACCCCATTCACTGAAGGCCATTATCAGATCCCTGTACTCCTCTTCCTGCCCGTTCCTGATACGCACCACAATAGCTGTGTCATCCAANTTAGAGACTCACTGACCTCTGGGGTCCAGTTCCAGAATGAGCGGGTGGTTGCAGCCTGCCTCAGTACACAGGGCTTGTAGGAAGGCTGAAGAAAAACCAGATTATGATCTGATCTGCCAAGTGGTGGTAGAGCTGAAGCAGTGTAGGCCTCCTTGATGTTTGCATACAACAGATCAAGTGTCTTATTTTGCCTTGTGGGACAGTCAACATACTGAGTGAAGCCAGTCAGGTGAAAGGCGAGAGTGACATGGTTAAAATTCCCCAATGTTGCAATGAATGCATCAGGGTGCTGGGTCTGTACTGCAACAGTCTTGTGAATGACGTCACACGTGACTGCAGGCTCAGATCGTGTTTGAATGTAAACAACAATGGCTACGATGTGTGAGAACTCCCTATATAGTACAGTCTAAGACCAACTGCCAACAGTTCAATATCCCGATTTTGTCCTTCACTTTGATGTGACCAGGGTTGCACCATCTATTGTTCACAAGCAGAACCAGTCCTCCACCTTTATTCTTTCTACTTTCTCCAGATTCTCTGTCCGCTCATACTACAGTGAAGCCGGGTAAATCCACACAACGGTCGTAGGCCTATGTATTGTTCACATTCTACTATGCAACTTGNTTTAGGGACCGGAACAACACATGATGTTTTCCACAGGACCCAGACCCTCCCTGTTGCAGACTTAAGTTAAAGAAAAGGCCTATGTATTGTTCACATTCTACTATGCAACTTATTTCAGAAGTTATTTGTTTGGAGGGCCTCACAGCTTGGGGCCTGTGCAGTCCATGTTCTCAGTCCAGCAGCATGATGAGGTAGCTCTTGAGACTTGACATACAGTATTACCTACACTAACATTGCAAGTTAAAAAGAAGCATCTTTAAGCCAAAGATTAAGAGAAGGCATTTGAATGTTACTGCTCCAGTTTTACACACAGTCCATTACATTAAATGTGATGATTATTAAAAATTCCCTTAAGGTATTTCCTCCTTAGCCAGGCTACTGAATCCATTTACTTCTGCTACTGCAGTGGAAAATGACAAAGACCACATCATAATTAAAATGTTTATTATGAAAACAGACATGACATAAATAGCATGGTTTAGCTGAAAAATTGCCAGACTGTTACAGTACATTTACAGGAGGAGGAGGTGGCCTGCTCTCTAGAGGCAAGCTGAGCAGCTCTGCCCTCACAGGAGCCTCACACTGGAGATCCCACAGTCACATTTCAGTCATCTGACAACCCCATTCCTTTACAGAGGCAGGTCACAAGAAAAATACAACAGAAACACATGCAGCATCAGGAGTACATGCAAAAATGTGCAACTAAATTACATGCAACAAATAATTTCATGCAAAGGAAAAAGTATAAATACACAGGGTTGACAAAAGGTTTTTCAGAATTTATGGTATAGAGATGAATGCAGCAGGTTTGGCTCCACTGGAACACCTTTCCAGAATTGAACACTACTGTGCAAGTGTTAAGAATCCCACACAACCAACGTTCTCAGGTGAGAAGATAAAGACACAACAAACTTTGGCATGACACTGCACTCAAACAATATTTAAGATAGCTGCAACTGAAGCCAATGGACAAACACTGCACCTGCAGCAGTAGCATTTAGCATCCTCTGCTTATGCAACAGACATAAGGTGATAGGCATTACCAGAGCAACACCATGCTTCATTCTCTCCAACTCCATACATATCTTCACGAATGTAAAGTGCACTCAGGTGGAGAACCAGCATGTGGAAAAACAGACATTACTGAGACATGACTGGGCTACAACAGAACTTCATATCCCACAAATCCTCACTTTCCTCCTGTCAGTTCACAGAACTGCAGCAACAGCAAACAGTGATCTTCTGTGTTTACTTAAGAGTCACAATATTTGATGAGCATTAGAGCCACTGATAGAAAAAAAACAAAAAAACAAAACAAAGAATAATGTTGTTTTAAGTGCTGACATTACGCAAATATTTTGAGAAAAAGTTGTAAAGTTATGACTAACACGACGTAATTATTAGGAAAAAAGTCAACATTACAAGTAAAAAGTCAGAATACAAAGAAAAAGGTTGTAATGTTCGAACAAGTTATTTTGAAGTAGAGTTTTAAGCTAAAATTATTTTGACGACAGTCATATTACAATGAAAAACTAATTCTTAACAGTGTCTTAACTTAATGCGCCATCATAAAGATCATTCAATGCTGTTACAATGAAACGGTTTTAGTTGTGAACATTGATCCAAACCTTCACCATGTATAACACAGATTATTTCTTATATCAAATTTACTTTAAAAATTGTATAAATACACAGTGATTTGATATTAGATCTACACACACACATACATATATACACACATTTAGAGTCAGGACAGTGAGTTTCTCTGGAATCAAAGATGGCTGACATTGTTTAAAGGCTTCAATTCCAGTCACTTAACCACAGACATTAATATACTTACACTTAGACTCGCAGGACAGAAATACATTCCTAAAATGGTTAAAAAGGTTAATGGGGGCCAATAACAACATTTCATCCTTACCCTATTGGATGTGGATCTCAATAGATTAAGGCATAAAGCAAGGAGCAGGTCAACAGAAATCTTGACCGCAAGTCAAGATCCACACTGATGACAAGGGTAACAACAACGTCACAGAAAACTCTATACGGTGGACAAATATTTAAAAAAGGGTTATAATGGTTCAAACCAGTCCATGGCATGGCATGTGTATATTGCACTTGGTGAATTAAATTTAAGGGGTCCATTGCGCAGGAGTCAGACCTGCAGACGTTACAGTAGTCCTCCTCAGAAACACTTCCTGAAGACAATTTGCGGGCCAAACTCTGCATATTCGTCCTGCCTGATCCATGCAGAGCTGAAGGTGGGCAGGTTGGCCAGCACCGCTCCTCCACTCCACACTGAGAAGTCTCTGTCTTTGGGGCTGGTGACACGAACACTCTCCCACATGTCAGCAGGTAAAAGGCCTTTGATTTCAGCCTGCAGCCGCTCAGGCAGGCCGGGCAGCAGGGTATTCCCACCTCCAGCAAGACAAAAAAACCTCAGTCATAATATTGATAAAGCACGACAACCTGTGCACTTGACACTAGGATAGCTGGACAGCATCTCTGAGCTGTAACACCCTAACAAAAAGCAGTTGTTACCTGACAGAACAATGTTTCCCAGGAAGCAGCGGCGCAGGTCGATGTCTGAGCTGAGGATTGACTTGAAGATGCTCTCATGCATCCCGTACTGGTCCTGTCCAATGAGCTCAGGTTTAAACAGAATCTCAGGGGCCCTGGATGCATGGGGGGTGGGGGGGTGGTAGACATATTCATATAATAGCAGTCTGCTATTAGATGTAGCTGTCCTATCAGTTAAGTCAGCTCTGTCAAACAGTCTCACATGTGCAGCTCCTGCTGGACAAGTCTCTCCGGGTCTCTGGTCTGAGGTGGACATTTAACATTACTCAACAAGACGAAGCAGCTTCTCATTTGTCTTAAATGTCACTTCTCTCACTTCTCAGTCCCTCCCGTGTAAGACATGAGGAAGAAATGAGGAGAGGAATCAACCCTTCATTTAACGACAGCATGGCTGGACCGGCGGTCAGATACTGGGATGTAGGGCTCCTGCGATTAGTTGCAATAATCGACAACGTTGACTATGAAAATAAGTCGACATCAATATTTTAAGTTGAAGAATCGTTTCCCTGACGTTGATTTATTTGTGGCAGCCAGTCACTATTAACCACCATATATTTATTTTCCATTTATCACTTATGGTGGCACTGCTTCTGTCCTCTGCTGTACTCTCTCTGAGTGACACAGACTTGACTACTGCAATGTTCTCCTGTCTGGTCGACCCGTAAACGTTATAAACCAGCTTCTGCTGACTCAGAATTCTGCGGCCCGAGTCCTGACCATGACCAGAAGGACAAGCACATCACACCTATTTTAAAGTCCCATCACCTTCTGTATTGATTTTAAAATTCTTTTACTTGTTTTTAAAGAACCTCATAGTCTTGCACCAGCATACATGTCCCACATGCTTACACCAATTCAAAACCTTCATCTTCAGCATTACATCACATTAAATATGGTTTTAAGTCATAAGTCACTTTATTGTATTCACTTATTTTATTGTAATTATGTTGTAAATTGTACTTCATTCTATTTTACCTATTCTTATTATTAATTTTCTTTACTTTTGTTTGCTAATGTTATTATAGCTTGTTAAATCTATTTCATTGTATCTCATTGTCGCTTTCTTACTTGATTTGTCCTTTTTCTTTTGTCATCTGTGAGGCTCTTTGAACTGAGCTAACCTGTATGAAAAGTGATATAAACTTTGACTGATTGCTCTGCTCGCTGGGAGAGGCAGGGCTGCAGGGCGTGCACACACACACACACACACACACACACACACACACACACACACACACACAGAGCAAAGAGCAGAGAGGCTGCATGGACACAGAACCAGCTGAACTGAAGATTACTGGAGTTGATGACAACTTTGACTGAACTTTACGTTACTGTAAGTGCAATAAAAAGTAAAAGGCTAATGTGTCTTTGTGGCTGAGTGACTTGATGCAGTTCATACAGTTAGAGAAGGTAAAATACACACTCAGGGGGTCCAGGGACAAATTCTTCTCTATCTGGGATCCTGTGTTGACCATGCCCACTTAGTACCACATAGCAACCCTTTTCCATTTATGATCATTTGTCCATGCAAACCATAGTACACAGTGTACAGCTTCGATAATGATAAAACTATGTATATGTTTTCTCTTCTCATCTGGGTGGGTGTCCTACATGTTCCGGATGGGTGGGACGGGTGGGCGGCTGAGTTGTTACTTGTGTATATACAACAAAGGAAACAAGGGTAGAAAATAATAATGAAAATAATGTGTGAGCATTGTTCCAAGGATTTTTCCTATGTTTTATCCTTGTGAACATACCTTGTATCATTGATGCTCAATAAAAATATATTGAAAAAAAGAAAAAGTAAAAGGCCAATAAGAACTTCATCCAACCACCTGTTCAATAAGCAACAAACAGAAAAGAGTATTTTCATCTCTGTTGTCTGCTGTCTCTTGATGCCTTTACACAACAACATCACACTGGTTTAGATAACAGTGAATTGTGATGAAAAGCTGAAGGAAAGCTGTCTGTATGCAAGTAACTAATTATCTCAGTTCACCACAAATCTTAAAACATGGCAGATTGTTGTAAACTGAGCAACTGGCTGAGACAAACCTGACTCATTAAAACATGTCTATTAAAAAAAAAACAAAAAAAACTGATATTTAAATTTTAGATTCTGACTTCCTTTATAATCTCCACTCAGGGGATTGAGTGTGGATCTAAAGCAGGACAGGACGTGCAGTTACCTGAAGCGCTCCGAGCCGAGGGTGACCATCTGTCCGTCTGGCATGGTGTAATGCATCTCCGTGCAGGAGGACCCCCTCCCAGTCAGCTCGGCCTCATAGCTGAGAGCCACACAGCAGCACTTCTCCTTCATCTCCCTCACTATCTCCATCTCTGCTGTGGTGCGCATGCTCACCCCCTTTTCCTGCAGGAGCTGCAAGCATGAAAATTCATTGAGTCTTTGCACAGAAACACAAGACTAGACCGCACCAACACAAACACACACTGCAGTTTTCTGTCACTGCATAATATGATGACAGTTTATTGTTTTTGACCTGCTCTGCGTTACAGGATGCGGCTGTCAGTAATATTCAACAGCATGTCCTTACTGCTCAGAACAAGAAGGAAACTGCTGCTGTGTCAGGTAAAGGTAAGGCTGGTGTTATTCCACACCTTCAAAAGACCCAAACCAACAATGACTCAGTCTATCCCTCAATACTCTGTCTTCAGTCTGTGTATCTTCTACTGAAGATACACATTTTTAAAAAACAAAAATAGATCATTTTTATTAAAAAAAAAAAAAAAAAAGGCTCAGTTTTTTCTTGAAATAGCTGCTGAGTTTTTGTGGCAGCAGGATGGTGTGTGTGGGACTGAGTCTCAACAAACCACAGTGTGTGTTTACAGTGATGTAGGAACATGTGACCCAGTGACATGGTGAGACTCACTGATGCGTTTAAAAGTTTTTGGAGACAGTGGAATCAGATCAAATCAGGCTGTAGATACAAACACAGTTTTGCCGACAAGAAACTAGAATCACAAACAACCTCCTGGTGGTTGTCTGCCTCCTCCAGTGTTTATCCAGTTATAAAATATGTCTTCTTGAGTTATGGCTAAAAAGTGTTTGGTGATGTCACACTGACCCTTGACCTTTGACCACCAAAATTTAATCAGTTCACCCTTTAGTCCTAGTGAATGTTTGAGCCAAATTTTAAGAAGTTCCGTCAAGGTGTTACTGAGATATTGTGTCAATGAGAATGAGACGGACAACCTGAAAACAATATGGCTCTGGCTCTGCAGAATATCACCAGACTGACAAACTCTCCTCTCCTCCTCCTCTCAGCAGGTCAGTCACTGCACTAGCTGTACAGCGTGGAAAGAACAGTGTATTGCTGAATACCTTTTTAAGCTGCAGTGTAACATCTCCACCAGCCAGAGGGAAGCGCTGCACTGCGTGAGGTAGACAGTATCCCTCAAACACAGGCACACTGTGGCTCACTCCATCTCCAGAGTCAAACACCACACCTGCAAGGAAGAGTTGTTCTTTCTTTAGTCTGTGATACACAACTCACAGACACAGTGCAAAAATAAAATGCTTAAAAAGACACATGAAGGGAGCAGAGTACCAGTGGATCTGCCGGCTGCGTACAGGGCCAGCACCGCCTGCATGGCCACGTAGGTGAAGGGAACGTTGAAACACTCAAACATGATCTCCACCATGCGCTGTCGGTTCTCCAGGGGATTCATGGCCGCCTCAGTCAGCAGAACAGGGTGTTCCTCTGGATCCACACACAGCTGCTGGAATGTGTGATGCCAAATCTGAAACCACGACACAAATTAAAGGTTTGTGCATTTACCTGCTCTGCACAGAGTTGACTTAATTGAACATGTATTTGTGGTAGCTGAACAGTGACATCACACCATCACCTTTTCCATTTCATCCCAGTTCCGAATGATCCCGTTCTTTATGGGGTGCTGCAGAGCCAGGACCCCTCTCATGTGTTGAGCCTCGTGTCCAATGTAGGTTTCCCTCCCAGTGTTACCGTTCATTACTTCCTGTAAAGATAGAACACAAACCTGTGATCAGAGAGGCTCCACTACAACACGTTTTCTAAAGATTTGGGTTCATGAGGGAAACGAGCAACAGCCTGACCTCGTATTTTGGTGTCCCAATTATTGTTGGGAATATAATGTTTGGATGGTCTTGATCTGCGAATCCTGCTTTCATCAAACCAGACCCAGTGTCCAGCACTATGGGGGTCTTGAAATCCATCATCTGCAACCACAGTGAAAAAATAAATCAATGTGAATCAAATAAAAAACAATCCCGCCGCTCGTTAACATGAGGTTTCATCATTTAGCCCAGTGGTTCCAAACCTTTCCCACCTCATGGCCACTTAATCTCAAAAATGTTGGAGGCCCACATCCGACCTCTTAAAGAGGACCTATTATGGCCATCTTCAGTGTTCATCATTTCATTCTTGGTGTCTACTTAAATAGATTTACATGCTTTAATGTTCTGAAAAGACATTTTTCTTCTTCTGTACATCTTTTACTGTCCTCTATTCACCCTCTGTCTGAAATGCTCTGTTAGAGCTCAGGGTCCTTTAAGCCCCCCCCCTCGAGGCTGACCAATCAGAGCCCAGTGTGCTCTGATTGTTCAACTTTCCGGCAACTTCCATGGCAACAATACGTTCCGCACGTGTGGCGGATTCGATCCCGTTTATCATTTTGAGCAAGAGTCTGGTCCTGAACCAGAAGATGACAGACCTGATCCACTTTCACAAGCTGGACTGGAGAAAATGAGCGTAGCCACTGTCAGGCAGCCGGAGCGAGGGAGAAATATGGAGAGCTTGTGAATCAAGACGCTGGACTCTGACAATATTCCTAACTTGGAATACTTTCATGAGAAACCTGACACTTCCGGGTGGGAGGCGGGACTACACTACACAGCACTTCTCTCAGCTGCAGACACCAGAGTATTAACCACAGGTGATCAGTTTTAAGGTGATTGGTGAATAGAAGCATTAATTCACATCTATCCTCGCCAATTTTTTATGAAAATTGGCTGATCATGATCAGTGGCCGATCAAGATCAGCGGCCGATCAATCCCTAGTGTGTTCAGTACACGGCTGGAGTCAGGACATGATTAGCCTAGTTTAGCATAAAGACTGTAAGCAGGGGGAAAGAGCTAGCCTGTCTCATCTGGCTCTCAGAAACAAAGTGAATAAGTGCATTTCCATTACATTGAACCAAACAAAGTTTCCATATGATGATCTACCCTGTGACTGATGATGGTTGTAAGCAATGAGGTAAACTTGAAAAGGTGTAAATGTAACCTCTGTAGACTTAAACTTAAAGTGGCTGTTCCAACCTGTACCTCTGTCGTGTCGATGTTCAGCTGGGTCTGAAGCCCAGGTGACCCAGCTCCTGATATCCTCTGAACACCATAAGGCAAGTCTTCATTCAGTTCACGCTGGTCAGGAGGCAGCTGTGGTGCCGACTGCTCATCTGCAGGAGACACACTCTGGATTTCCATTGTTGGGTGTAAGTGTGTCTGTAGCAAACCTGCAGGTGGCCCTGATGTATCCTCTTCATCTTTAGAGGTCATTTCAGACAAGTGGTCTGAGGACAGGCCACACTTCTGCGGGTGGTTGTTGTTGTTGTTGCTCTGATCCTTTACATTTGAATGGAGAGAGCAGAGACTGATGGCTGGAGTGACGTCCTCTGATTCAACCAATTTATTAAAACCAGGATCCTGAGCTGCTGAAGACGGATCTGGATCCAGCAGCTCTGTGGAACGAGAGGTTCCATGTTCTGTGAGGTAATCCTTCACAGGAAGTGGAGCTTTTCCACCTGGGTCAAACGCTCCATCGTCCGGCCTCATTTCAGGGGTTAAAGAAGCTTCTGGTTTGCATATGGCACCGTTTTCACCAGATCCATGTAGTTCTTCAGCACAGACAAATCCCTGAGGTTGGATTCCCAGCTCTTCAGAAGCTTGCTTCAAGTCAGAGGTGCCATTCAAAGCAGTTCTGTTAGATTCAGATGCAGCAGCCTCAGGGGAAGGAAGATCCTGATGTTGAGGAACACAGTCATGTGGTAGGGCCTCTTTGGCAACACCAGGAAGCAGGTCTGCTGGAGAATCTTCAGTCTTGCATGACTCCTCATTCTGGTCTACAGATGTGGAGTGTGTTCTGTGGGATCTGGTACAGCCCTCTGATAAAAGCTCATTGCAGAGTGCTTGGTCTTCTTTACTGTCAACTCTGGCCTTGTCCATTATAGAACATCTTACAACTTTTCTAGCTCGGTCCTTGTGTTTCTTAGTTTTAGGCTCTTTGTCCAAACTCTTCTCGAGCTTCTCCACCTCCCTCTTCTCCTTTTCCAGCTGTAACCGGAAAACCTCCCTCTCTCTGCTCACGCTGGACGGCCCGTTTCTGTCTGAAGGTTTTCTCCCCGAGAGCTCATTGTTGAGGTCTTCACAGCGCCGGAGCTCGTGGATCTTCAGGTTCTCCTCCATGATCAGCTCGTCCAGAACATGGACCATCCTTAGCTCCCTCAGCAGGTCCGGCCTGCTGGGAACTGCTGCTGTGTCTACTTCAGTGCAGTGCCCATGGTCTTCAGAAGTCTTAGCTTGACTCGCGCATCCAGCTGATCTGGGTTCACTGAGGTTGTCAGATTCAGCAGGGTCCAGGGAGTCCCCGAGGCCGAGAACACCAGCTTCAGTCAACTCGCTGGATGACAGCTTTAAAAAAAAAAAATGAGCATAAGCAGATAAATCATGATGAACAAACACTGTGGTTCAGACAGCCTGTGTAAACCTAGAGTTCAATAAAGGCAGACAATGTTCTCTAGACAGAGGCTGACGATGTACAAGTTGCACAGGAACACAAATGAAATTGTCTATTCTATGTACTATTACATAAAGAAATATGCATCTATATAGTACAGACACCAGTGATGATGAAGTCAATGACACTTTCCACAGTGAAGAAGAAAGAAAACTAAATTAAAGTGAGCTTTGGAAGCTGTGACTAAATCTTGTACAATTTCTAGATTTGACAAAGCGAAAGATCGACGACATTATTGTTTCAAGTTCTGTTCAACTCCCTGAACCCATCTGCACAATCACACCTTTATTCATCCTGATCGGCAAAACAAGTCTTTGTCGGGAGTCAGTTTCAATTCTTGACTTGTTTCAACTGCTTAGTTTGACGCCGACACTCCTAATGTCATGTGACCCCGAGTACAGGTAAACAACAGGCTTTGGTGATGAAAGCGGATGCCATATGGAGCTAACTGTCGGTTGACCAACTGCACCATCAGTGTGTGTGTGTGTGTGTGTATGTTAGAGAAGTGCTGTATGATTGTGTGTAAATGGGTGAATGTGCTCTGATTGGACCCTACATACATGCATTCCATTTACAAAGGTGAAAATTTGCCTTTTGAAGAGAGATCTGAGGTTAAACGCCTCGCTGCCGACCTCTTTACAAATTAGTTTCCTGCTGGTTTGTCAAAGAAGACACTTTCCTGTGTGTGCTCAGAGGGGAAAAATGTACTGACAATAATTGTCTTCAGGTTCACCAAAACTCACATTTTAACGTTTAACAAATCAGAATCAAAATTAAATTCTATACTCAACACACCTGACTACACAGTGTGTTTCCAGAGGAAGAAATGATCCATCTGTCTGGACTAATTAAAAGATGAAGGAGACTGCTGGCATGAGCGGTGAGACAGAAACAATCAGCAGCTTCAGGACCTGTTTCAGGACTGAGTTTCGCTCACTGATGAGCAGTGGTGAACGTACCACACTGAGCTGGTCCTCGCTGTCCCACAGTGGCCAGTGCCTGTCCTCGGACCTCAGCAGGGTCTCCAGCACAGCCTCCTGAGCCAGAACGTTTTCTTCTTCCTGTGAGACAGATATTTGTCTGCTGATCACAGCGAGTCAGAAATGAAGCCTCGTACTTAGGCGGCTGTGGGTTGTGCTGAGAAACTGGTGTTATTTGTCACATGTTACAGATCTCAGCGGTGTTGCAGCTCTTCATGGCAGCGATCATCTTCCCCTGTGCATCTCTTACCTCCAGTATTTCATCGGCCCTGCCCAGGATCTTCTCCACCTCCCTCAAACCCTCCTGCTCCTCCACATCCCAGTCCTTTTGGGAGATATCAATCTCACTGGAAAAAAAAACCAAACCAATGTCCTAAAACATACATTAAACATTTAAAACCCATACATTGACATATGACTTCCTGTAATGTCAGATTCTTTAAAAAAAGTCCTGTTGGTCCTGACTGCTACTGTGTCTAATGCTAGCAGCTCTGTCATGATCTTTATTGACCCTCAATTCACCCAAATTAATCATCCAACACACGTTAGTCCTTATCCATATAAATCAAACCTCTGCTGCTTCATGTTTTTCTATGGTGGAATGCTTTAGCTTTAGTGTTAGCATATGCTGCCTCCAGGTGTGCATATTTGAGCCTTTTAACATGAATCACATGTACAGGTGTTCCCAGTTATTCTGGCTGAGACCTAATTAAAAGGTCCAATCAGAAGAACTGGACTCACCTGTGTGGGTGTACAAAAGGTGTTCAGGAGCTTTAAGATAAGAACTGAGAAATCTGATTTTGTCTCTGATAGTAAGAATTCTGTCTTGAGCTGTTGAACTGTGTTTCCTACGTTCTGTTTAACCCTCTAAGTGCATGTAACCTGTATAAATGTCATGAGTAATAAACATGTTTTTATGGTGTTGAGATGCTAACGAGTCTGATTCCTATGTAGATGTATATCTTACACCATCTTTAGGGATCTAGATCTGAGGGACTCATATTATATTTCATTAATATATTACTTATTATATCTAATGAGAGCTGTGACCTCACAGAAACTTTACCTATCCACAGGATCCTGGCTCTGGTCATGGAGGTCATAAGAGTCCCAGAGAAGAGTAGGACCCCCCTCTGTGGTGCAGATGGACTTGTCCCCTCCATCTGTGATAGTGCTGGAGAGGATGTGGCTGACGGTACTTAATTCAGGACCCTCCAAACTGCTTTGTGAGTGTAGAGTCCAGCTCCTGCTCTGTGGCCCTCTGGGCTGCGTGCTGCTCAACACTTCCTCCGTCTTCGTGGGCGGATCTCGAGACCTGTTGGTGCAGGGGTCTGAGGGATCGTGGAAGTGTAGGTCAATCTTCTGTGGTGTGGGGTTGTGTGTGATGGTGACGGTGTACATGTTTTCCAGGTCATCTAATGGCAGGCTGAGCCAAGGATTAGTGGGCAGCGCGGCAGAGCGCTGCACTTTGATCTCTAAGTTGAGGGAATCCTCGGTTACTTTAGGGATGATCTGGATGCTGGCCCTGGAGGAGTCTCCCACAGAGCCACAGTCAAACTCTGCATCTGAAACACTGGAGATGTTCTCCTCGTGGATTAGAGGACGGCTCATGGCAGGTTTCACAAAGTCCTTGATCCCAGCTAATCTAGACAGACCTTCCACTCCTTCCCTCCCTCCCCAGGCCTCCAGCTGGCTGCTCCCTGCCCCATCAAAACCCGAGTCGAACGAGCTGAGGGAGGGGGGTTTGCCTTCAACCGACACTGTCCCAGAGACTGCAGTCGAAGGGGACGTTCCAAGAAGATGGACGGCTTCATTACCACCTTCACATTTAATGTGGTTGGACTCTGAAGGACAGGTTTGATCATCCTGGGCTGTTCTGTCTGTAGCAGCGTCAGCAGAGGAGTGACTGACACGGCAGCTCCGCAACAACTCGTACTGCCACTGTAAGGCCAGCTGCAGCTGACCCACAGCCACAGGCCCACAAGAGGTCACAAGTTTCCTCAGGGTCATGCACCTGATGAATAAACACAGATTACTGTAAAAGTGGAATAATAAAGAACAATAAAATGTTGTATGTTCAGTCTCTCTGAGCTCGGTTTCTGTTGGTGCAGAGGATGTAGCCAGCATGTGAGAGGGAAGTGATGAAGTTGTGTATTATGGTTCACACATATGATACAGTTTGAGAAAGTGAAGCAACTGAGCCATTTCCATTGAAGCATTTTACAAAAGGTAGTCAGACAAGAAGTCATAGGAGAGTGTGTCAATACACTGATCTCCATAACAACTGAGCAAACTGGGTATGTTGAACTTGCTTCATAGTCCAGGCTTCAGATGTGTTCACAGAGTTCAAGCTGAATGAGTTTCAGTTGTTAATTTTATATCAACAACATGTTCATGTCCTAAATGTTACCGTTACTGTGTGAACTGTGACAGCTGATCTGTTGCAGCGACACTCCACACACACAATGTTCTTATCAGGCTAAGGTTAGCTGGGCACTCACAATAACAGCTACAGTTGGTCAGAATGTAACAGACTTTTAAGTGCTTTTACACCACTGGTCTGTCACCATGTTGGTGTACAGCAGCAGTTTAAACTGACTGACTGAATGTATGGAGGTGTGTGAGCGTTTTTTCACACTGTGTGCAGCAGCCTCTGTTTCTTTTTCCATTGTGATATTGAATTTGATCAAGAATCAGAGTTTTACTTATATATATACACACATATACATACATACACACACATATACATATACAGTGGTGTAAAAATGGTATAATTTTGTCCCTAATGTCACATGTTGCATATCCAAAACTAACTATTATACTAATACGGAGACCACTTTCAGCTTCTCTTTAGAACTTCTTATCAAACTCAGTTCTCTCTCTCACCGCTGAGACATCTGCTTTCCCGCCCGCTGGACCACATCATCTGGGATGACATGAGACAGATGTGCCAGATGAACCAGCTCCTCTACATCTGGTGGACGATTCTTCTTGAGGAAAGTGGACAGTTTGTGCCTCCATGCAGGGACCGTCCCCCAGGTCCTCCTGTGCCACTGTGTGGGAACATCATCTGCATCAACACCTGACAGCAGCTCCTGGAGGAGGTTCTCACAGAGAACCAGACTGTACCAGGTGTTGGCCTGGAAGAGGAACAGGAGCCAGGTTCATGATATGCAGTGCACAGTGTCAGATCACAGGTCACACATTACACACACTATTTCTGCTGCTGTTAAAAGGAAACTTTAACTGTAGATCATTACAAGATTACACTTCAACTGACACCAACAAGATTCATGCTTGAACTGACGGTTCATCTGTAACCGTTCACATACCAACTGATACTTTCCACTAGAGATGCACTGATGGATTGGTTGCCCATCAGAAAAGGAACTGAACATTTCAAGAAGCTAGCAAAGGCAAAGCAGCTAAACTAGTTCCACACCGCTGACCTCGCCTGTGCATCTCTACTTTTTACAATGCTTCAACTTCAACAGCTATTGAAGAGTGACGGATTTGATCAAATGTGTCCAGCCGCTCTACTGTACCCATAGTGGGTTTGGAATGTTAGTTTGGATTTTTTCCTTCTATCTTGTTAATTTTGTACTTATATATAATGATTATTTGGTAACCAATGTGTACATGTTATGTTTAGTTCTGTTTTGTTTTCTTATATAATTATTTTCTATAACATTATTCATGTATTTGTACTGCTATAGACATATCTTGTTAGTTTCAACAACACCACAATGCAGCTGGTTATACAAAGTTTTGGTATTTCTACGTTCAATAAAATCCAATAGACAAAATTTGAATTTTTGCAAAACAAACATTTAGCAGATGGTACGCAAAAGAACTTGTATTTGAGATACAGCTAATTGACCAATCTTACTAACTGCAGTTGACTGGTGATCTCTGGACCACAGCAGACAACTCACCTTGTTGAAGTAGTGATGGTAGTTGGAAACTGCTCTGAGGGTTTGGCGAATGAAGTGCACGGTCGAGTGGAGTTTCTCCTTGAGCCTCTCAAGATCCAAAACCCAGCCCTCCCTGCTGCAACCATCGACCGGCAGCACCTCTGCCAACGTGTGGACCACATCCTCAGCACGGCGAACAAGAGCCTGATAGGCAGGGGAGGACTCATTATGACTGGACATCAAAACTTAACATGAATGAAATATGTAAGTATGACAGTGTGACGTGAACTACTGCTAGTGGATACATGACTGATATTAGATATCGAACATAATCAGGAAATAGACAAACAATATCATCTGATGGAGGATTTACTACACAACAGCTGGACTCAAAGGAAACAGAGCACATCAACTAAACAAGTACCACAGCAGGAGTGTGAATGGACGCCTCAAAGTGGGACACCAACGCCGCTGCCTTTGCAGCATCCTTGGCAACCTCTATTTTATAATGCTGGAGCTTCTCTTGAAACAGACTGTCGATCTGCTCTGTGATCTGTAAGCATAAGGAAACACATCAGTTCACACAGAGAGTGTTGGCATAAGAAGAGCACAGAGACATTCTAACTATCATACTGATGAGGTCATCACCACTGTTAAAGGAGGAAGTGCAGTGTTAGATCCTTTAAGATTCAGACCTGCAGGAAGAAATTATATATCTTTTGAAAATATTCACAGCAGCAGCAAAAAAAGCAATTATTCATAAATGGTTACAGGTCGATCCACCTACAGTGGTCAACTGACTAGAAATTATTAAAGAGATTCATGAGATGGAAAGACCGACTCTTGTGCTACGATTGAGATTACGGTATACCCCGACCTCACCCACTGTCATCTGGGATTGGCTCCAGTCCCAGCGTAAGGTAAGGATAAGCGGTGTAGATGATGGATGGATGGAAGATGGTCAAAATTAAATATGTATATACTATGATGAGATATGTGGCTGCTGGTTTGCATCTGCACAGTTGCAGATATAACTATAGAGGGGGAGGGGTGGAGGGAGATTTTAGGACGTCTCAAAGACGTCACTGCCTAGAGAGAATAGGGAGGAAAAGGGATAAGAGATGTTAAGATGAACAACAATCTGCTTTGACAAACAGCAACATACATTTAAGAGACATTAATCTACATTTAAACATGTACTATCATTCTTAAATCCCATTGACCTTTTTTTTTTTTTTTTTTTTTAAAAATCAATTTTTTTATTATCCAAATCCACTATGTCCCATATGACATTTGTAATATGGATACTAACATGTTAACATTCTGGCAACATTTGTTTTACTGTTGCAATCATTTTGCTGTTCTGTACAC